AAAAAAAAAAAAAATATATATATATATATATATATATATATATAGAGAGAGAGAGAGAGAGAGAGAGAGAGAGAGATTATATGCTGGTTATGCAGCGCACTTTGGCAGGATGAACAGCAGGAAGGAAGATGAAGCCAGCCTCATCGACATAGCAAAATTCTTTTTAGTATACCAAAAAAACAATGGAAAAAACTATAGCTATAAGACTAGAGCACCCTAGGTTGGTAGTAGCAATGAGTGCCTATAATTTCTGAACTTGGGAAGTGGAGAGACAGGAAGAGCAGGGGACCCTGCCTCAAATAAAACAAAAAAGAAAAAGCAGAACATCTTCAAACTGTGTTTTGCCTTGTTTTGCATTCATTAATTTATTTTTAGTGATTTGAGATAAGATCTCTCTATATAGCCCTCACTGTCCTGGTAGACCAGGCTGGCCTCAAATTTGCAGAAATTCACCTGCCTCTGCCTCTCAAGTACTGGGATTAAAGGCATTTGCTACCATGCCTGGCTTTTATTTTGTTTTTTAAGGATATGGTCTCTTGTAGCCTAGCTTGCCTTGAAGTGGCTGTGTAGCTGAGTGAGGATAACTTTGAACTCTGATCGTCCTGGCTCCACCTCTCAAGTGCTGGGATTGAATCCAGGGCTTTGTGTATGCTTGGCAAGTGCTCTACCAACTGAACCTCATCTCCAGCCCTAAGAAAGCACTTTTTTTAAAGTAACTTTTAGTAATTTAACTTTTTTTTTCTTCACAGTGTTTCACTCGAGGATTTGAGTACAAGAAACATCAGAGTGATCATACTTATGAAATAATGGTAATGATAACATTGATGGAAACTTTCATTTCTTTTTCAAGTATTTAGACTAAGAGATAATTTTATTTCTGTGTATCTGTCCTTTTTCTCTTCTGAATTTGATAATTATTTAGTAGTTCTTTTAGTTCTTTGTAACCTATTAAGATATGTAAGTATTGGCCTGCAGGCGGTGGTGCACACCTTTAATCCCAGCACTCATGTCAGAGGCAGGCTGATCTCTGTGAGTTCGAGGCCAGCCTGGTCTACAGAGTGATAGAACAGCTAGGGCTACTTAGAGAAACCCTGTCTCAATAAAACAAAACAAAGATATTTGGGTATTTAAACGCGGGCTGTAAAGATGGCTTAGCAGTTGTACTTCCAGATGACCTGGGTTCAATCAATTCCCAGCACCCACATGACAGCTCACAGTTGTCTGTAACTCCAGTTCCAGAGGACCTGACACCCTCACACAGACATACATGTGGGCAAAACGCCAATGCACATGAATTTTTTTTTAAAGACTGTTATAATAAATAAATAATAGCTTAATGCAGCTGGGTAGTGGCATGCACCATTAACTCCAGCACTCAGGAAGCAGAGGCTGATGGTACCTGAGTTCAAGGCCATCCTGGTCTACACAGTGAGTTCCAGGACATCTAGGGATACAGAGAGATACTCAGTCAAGGAAAAAAAGGAGGAAAAGAGATTTTTTAAAAATAGCTTATCAATAATACACATGTAATATAAACAGCAGTATGGTGGCTCATGACTGTAATCTCAGTACTTAGGAGGGTTTGCCATGAGTTCTGGGTTAGTGAAGGATGTAGTGTGAGTCCCTTTTTGGTGGTTTACATGAGAATGGTCCCCATAAGTCTCAGGCATTTGAGTACTTCATCCCTATTTGATAGATATTTGAGAAATAACTTTTCTTTCTTTTAAAAATTTAAATATATAATGTTCTGCCTGCATGTATGCCTATAGGCCAAAATGAGGCAACAGATCTTACTATAGATGGTTATGAGCCACCATGTGGTTGCTGGGAATTGAACTCAGGACCTTTGGAAGAACAGCCAGTGCTCTTAACTTCTGAGCCATCTCCAACCTGGTAACTTTACTTTTCTATTGCTGTAATGAAACACCACCATGACCAAGGCGACTTATACAAGGGTTTATTTGAGGCTTACAGTTCCAGAAGAATGGGAGTCCATTCATCATGTTGGGGAGCATAGCTTTAGGCCGGCAGGCAAGGCACAGAAGTAGCAGCTGAGAGCTTACATCCTGACCCACAAACAGGAAGCAGAGAGATGGGGATGACAGGAGACTTTGGGAGCCTTATGCCCACACCCAGTGACACACTTTTCCCAACAAAGACCATGCCTCCTAATCATTCCCAAAGCCACCAAATGCAGACCAAGTAGTTAGATGTCTGAGACTTATAGGACTTATTTTTATTCAAACTATCACATCCTGTCTCAACAAACAACCAAACAAATAATACAGCTGGAAAGATGAGCTATCAGTTTAGAGTGCCAACTGTTCTTGCAGAGGACTGGAATTCAGTTCCCAGCACCAATATTGAATAACGCACAACTCCGTGTAACTGCACTTCAGGGAAACATACCCTCTTCTAGACTCGATAGCCACCTCACTCATATGTGCACAGAAACACATAAACCCCCATATTTAAAGATAAAACAAGATAAAGAAAATTGAAGAGGCAAACTAGTAAATAGGCTGATAAGACTTGACTCAATAAAGAAAGAATGCTGCCACTCTCCCAGCTCTGGCCAGGAGTACAGGCAGTTTTATAAGCCAACGTGAATGATCGGGTCTACTTGACAGGCATATGTATTGTGTTAAAATATTTTCGTTTGGAGGCCTTCCCTAGTGTGCACCAGGCTTTGGAGTGATCCCTTGCATTTCAGGGAAAGTTTTGTTTGTTTTCAGAGCACTTAAAGCAGCTAAAACAAGTTTTGACACTTAGCTTCTGGTACAGTTTTTCTTTAAGTAATAATTCCACGGTGTAGATTAATCATTTGGCACTGCATTAGTTTTCTGCAATTGCTGTTATAAATTATGAAAAATTAAGTGGCTTAGGAGAACACATACTTATTGTTACACAATCCAATAGGTCAGCAGAGCAGCAGGCTTACTGGTTGTAGAAGGTCTTGAGAGGCTGAAATTGAGGTGTTTGGCTAGCCTGGGTGAGAATTATCTCTGGGTTCATTTGGGTTATTGGCAGAATTTACTGCCTTGAGATTGAAGGATTGGTGCCTCTGTTTCCTTAGATAATGGCTGGCTGTTGGCCAGAGTTTGTTCTTGGCTCCTAGAGACTGCCCTGGCTCCTGGCCCCCTTTTGCCATCTTCAAAGCCAATGACACTGGGAGTCCTTGAAGCCTGTTGATAAAGTGCTTGAGCCTCTGACCTACTACTTTATCCTGCTTAAGCACTTTCTCTCATTTTTCTGCCTTCCTGTAAAAACTTAAATGAATTTTTTTTATGTTTGTTTTGGCTGTATATATGTCTATGCACCACGTGGTACTTGGTGCTCCTGGAGGTCAGAAGAGGATGTCAAATCCCCTGGATAGTTGTAAGCCACAGTATGGATTCTGAGAATTGAATCCAGGCCCTCTGGAGTATAGCCAGTGCTCTTAACCGCTAAACCATTTCTCCATCCTCTCTAATACTTTTAAGGACTTGTATGATTTCATTGGTCTCACCTAGATAAACCAGCCTTGTCCCTCTACTTTGCTAGTTGATAGTAATTTTAATTCCACCTGCAGAGTATTTAATTTTAATTAATTTTATCTGTAGTACCTACTGCCTGATTGAAAAATAGACAAGAATCTTGGGAGAAATGTAGAATATGTTTAGAATTCTGCCTACTATGTAATTCAGAGCACATTTATGTGTGTTTTATAAAAGATTAGAAGGAAGCTGGGCATGATGGTACATACCTTGAATCCCAGCACTCAGGAGGCTGAGGCAGGTGGATATCTGTGAGTTTGAGGCCAGCCTGTTCTATAGAGTGAGCTCCAAGCCATATAAGGAAACCCTGTTTTAGAAAATCCAAACCAAACTAACCAACCAACCAGCCACGCAAACAAACAAAAACCCAAAAGGCTAGAAAGGAAGCTAAGGATGTAACTCAGGTTGGTAGAGTGCTTGCCAGCATCCATCTCAGAGCTCTGGGTTCCATCCTCAATGCCATATAAGATCAGACATAGTAGCACACAGACAGTACCTGGGAGTATTTGGGAAATGAAGCCAGAATGATCAGTAGTCAAAGGTCTTTCTCGTTTTCTATGTGGTAAGTTGGAGGCTAGGCAGGGCTACATAAGAACCTATTTCAAAAGCAAAATAAAACAAAAGCATTCAGAAGGAGAATCAACATGAGTTTGATTATTTGTTGGCTCCTGCTAGTGTTCCTGCACCTATGTGATTGGGAGTCACAATCAGTCAAAGAAAAGCAACTTAGAGTTTGGGGAAAACAACTAGCTGATACAGTTTTCAGTCTCTCCTTTTAAAAATATGTATTTTTATTTAATTATATGTAGGTGTGTGTGCATGTGGGTGGATATGTGCATGTGAATTCAGGTGCCATCTGAGGCCAGAGGCAGCTGATCATTTGGAGCTGGAGTTACAGACAGTTGTGAGGCACATGACATGGGTTCTGGTAACCAAACCCAGGTCCTCTGGAAGAGCAGCAAGTGCTGCTAATGTCTGCAGTCTCTTCTTTAATTTTTAAGTTTTTTGAGATAGAGTCTCATGTAGCTCAGGTTGGTCTCAAACTTGCCATATAGCCAAGGATGGCCTTGAATCTTGAATCTTCCTGCCTCCACCTCCAAGGGAGTACCCTGTTCTCTTTTAAATCTTATATTCACTGATACGAAGTTTGGAACAATAACCAAAATGTTCCCCCTTTGGCCAGTTGCATATTGAATGAAGGGTTGGAAAGTAGGATCAGAGCAGCTTTGGCTTTGAGTTCATTTCACCAAAAGTTACTATATCTTCAGAAAATTAATTCACCTTTTCCAAATCCACATAAGGCTCTCTAGACTCTGATTTTGTTATTTTATTTTATTTTATTTTTATTTTATGGTGCAGAGAATTGGATGCTACTATTGAGCTGCATCCCCAGTATCCAAATTTATTCATTTGAAATGGCAAAATAACCTCTTATGAAATAATTATATAGCTTAGGTAGTTGGTAGCCATGGTCAGCCATTGTAGGAAAGCTGACTGTGAGCTCTCTGTAGCTATTCTGGGCACCACATAATGCTAAAACACTGTTTCACTTTAGCCAAGTCCACTTCGTTCTTATTACATCATCCTTTCTCACGTGTTCACCACCCATACAAACACCTTTCAGCATTCTGAACTGAGGGAAGTGTCTGGGGGCTTCTGATACTCTCTTACTACTAGCTCTTATTAGCCAATCTTAGCTTTTCCAACAAATCTTTCCTTTTATAGAAGTGGTGACCAGCTTTCGGCTTTCTACACTCCAAGCCTCTAAAATCTTGATTCTTTCCAGCACGAAGCATCTGATAGCTTTAAATGGTTTCAGTACTTTTCTCATCTCACAGTGCTGTATTTTCGGGAGTTACTCATGCTGTGGTGGGTGGTGCATTAATAGAGATTTCTGAATTCTGTAACTATTTTTGTCTTGTGATTCTTAGGACCTTGAGCAAGAGAAGGCAGCTCTTCTACCACACCCTTTATGACAGGAATTCTTAAATTTTATTACCCGGGAGCTTCATAGACCTATAGATTTCCAAGGCCCATTGTGAGACATTCATACCCAAGTTTGGGTCAAGGGGTCTAAAGAACATTGAACTTTAAGAAGAAGGGGAAAAAAAAGCTCTCTTCCCCTTGTTTTTTCTTCTTGAAGTTCAATGTTATTCAGAAAAGCCTTTTTTCCCCCTACTATACTGTGGAAACTTTGTATTATAAGTCTATGGGTGGTAGCCAATATTCTAAAACAGTTTTAGAAATGACAGCCCTTTCAGCTAATTGTGTGACTCTCCTACTTACGTAATCTCTACGGTGCTTGCCGGGTTGGCTGGTTGGTGTGAGTTCATGCATGGACTCTGAAGTTTCTCATAATAAGCTCATGTGTAGGCTTAGATCCCAGTGTGTCGATCATTACTGCTGTGGCTTTACTAGTACAACAGAGGTTTTTGTTACCAACAGAAGATATAACAAGTTGTAAATGCCTCTAGAATTGGAAAAGCTCTTGTATTATTTTCTTGTTTTACTTTTATCTTGGAAAATTTTAGACATACACAAAAGCAGATAGTGTTTAGTTCTTTATTTTATAGCTACCTGAAAACTTTGTGGCTCAAACTAGAGACTACTTTATTACCTCCCATGTTGCTGTGGCTCAGGAATTCGGATGAGGCCCAATTGGTCATCAGCTCCACATCTGGGGCTTATGAGTCCCAAGTGCCTTTTTCATGTACCTCAGGCACCCTTTTAAGGAGGTTTTCATTGTACTCTTCCTAACGCCACTCAACCAAGGACTTGATTGTTCTTCATTGTCTCCAGGACACTTCCTTTCAGGCAGCCTCCCCACAGTCTACAGTGAGGGTAGTTTGTGTACTTGGTGGCTTAATTAAAAAAAACAAAAACAAAAACAAACAAACAAAACAAAAACAGAAGCTTCTAAGCCTTGAGTCACAGATTCAGCCCATGTTAAGTGAGAATTTTTGTTTTATCAGGAGGGACCATTGAAACCAGCTGCCTCATAAAGTAGTTTCCACTGTTCTATCACCAGCTCTCTTTTTCCAAAGATGTATTTATTTTTGTTATGTATGTGGGTATTTTGCGTGCATGTTTGTGCACCATATATGTACGTTGTGCAAGGAGGCTAGAAGAGGGCATTAGATCTTCTGGAACTGGAGTTACAGGTAGATGTAAGCTGCCCTGTGCATGCTGGGAATCAAACCTCTCTCTGGAAGAACAGCCAGTGCTCTTAACCACAGAGCTACCTCTGCATCTCTCCAGTCCCTTCCCATAGTCTTCCAGTCACTTTGCAAAATCTTTAATTACTAAGTGATACTCCATTGCATGTCCATCTCCTTTTGATGGACCCTTTGCACCTTGCCCAGTTAGGGATCTCTTAAGAATAAAGCTGTTGTGAGCATTCTTGGTTAATGCTTACTGTGTTCTTATATTTTCATTTTTCCTGAGTAAATGTCTTGGGTATAATGAGTAGAATTTATTGTTTAACTTTTTAAGAAATGACTAGAGTGTCTTTCTACATGATTGTTACATTACACTTGTTGATTGCTTACATATTTGCTAACATTTGGCATTATCATATTATATGTTTTGGTGGGTATACGATAGTGTTTTTTTTTTTTGTTACCGTTTTCTGAGACAGTCTCACTATGTAACCCAGACTGGTCTCAAACTCCCAGTGATCCTCTTGCTTCAGCCTCCAAGTGCGTAGGCATACACTAGAATACCCTCACACCTTTGATTTATTTATTTTTATTTTTTATGTTTAATTGTTCATGTGGGGAGGTCTGTACATGTGTATCCATAGAGGCTAGAGATGTCGATCCCCTTACAGTTGGGATTACAGTGCTTGTGACCTGCCCATTGTTTATGATGGGAGGCAACCACAGGACCTCTGCAAAAGCAGTACCGAAGGGGGCTGGGGAGATGGCTCAGAGGTTAAGAGCACTGGCTGTTCTCCCAAAGGTCCTGAGATCAATTGCCAGCAACCACATGGTGGCTCACAACCATCTGTAATGACATTTGGTGCCCTCTTCTGGTGTGTAGGCACACATGCAGGCAGAATACTGTATAAATAATAAATAAAAATAAATCTTTGGGAAAAAAAAAATCAGTGCCGAGTTCTGAACCATCTCTTTAGCCCCTGATCTCTTTTGAGTTAAAAGATGGGGTTGTCTATGTCTTTGGCGTACTAGATTTGCTGTGTTGGCTTAGGCTGGCCTTAAGTGCTCTATCCTGATGCCTCAGCCTTCTAATTGCTGGGATTTACAGGCATCTGCTGCCATACCCACTTGATAGTACCTTCCGTTTGCCTGTTTGGGAAAAGGTCTCCCTTACTACATAACCTTGGTTGACCAAGATCTTGATGTGTAGGCCAGACTGGCCGCAGACTAGTCTGAGACAGGCACCCTGCCTTTGCTTTTTTAGTGCTGGAATAATAGCTATGTGCCATCACTCCCAACCAATTTGTTTTGAGATATGCAAAAAGTCCACACATTTCAGTCTTCCACTTACTTGCCTTTTGCATACCTTTTGTTCTGTGTGGGCTCTTTTTTTCTCTTTTGTTTTTTGCTGTGTCGTCTTGGCTGCATAGTCGTCCTGCAACTTCCTCTGTAGAGCAGACTGGCCTAGAAATCACAGAGACCCACCTGCCTCTACCTGCCTCTTTTCTTTTTAAGTTGACTTCCTTTTTAGTCATTTTAAAGATGTATTTTAAAGTGTGTGTATGGGCGCACGTGCATGCATTCGTGCGTACTCACAGGTACACGTCTGTCCACATGAGTCAGGTACCTGTGGAGGCTACAGTTGTTACATCTCCTGGCACTGTAATTACAGGTGGTTCTTAGTCACCTGACAAAGGTGCTAGAAATCCAGCTCTGCTCTTCTGGAAGAGCACTGTGTATCCCTGACTGCTAAGCCAATAAATATCATCACCCGTAATTACTCTGAAACACATCCAGAAACAGTTATTCTTTTCAGCAAAGTTTAAACCTAGCTCTATTTTACTGGAGACTGTTGTAGCAAATAGAGGTAGGGATAGAAGAGGTAGAAAATAATACATCCTAGCAAAAATAATAATGTATCTGAGAATGACAGTCCTTGTTTGTGAGTGGGGACAGAGTATATGTTTACACATGTGCATGCCGGTGCACATGAATGTGTGTGCACCTGCCTGTGGAGGCCAGAGTTGATACCAGGTGTCTCCTTGCAAGCCTTCCCACCTTTTTTTTTAAAGACGGGGTCTGGCTGAACCTCAAGTCAGTGATCCTGCCTGCCTCTCCTTGGGATTATCCATGTGCACTGCCGGCACGTGGTAGAGTCTTTTTAAACCATGTACCATGTACTACAATATTGGGATTCCTGCGTGGCATTCCTATCCCTGTTCTTTAACCGAATCTTTTTTTTCTCCTTAGACTTCAGACTTTCCTGTTCTTGACCCCAGCTGGACTGCTCAAGAAGAAATGGCTCTTTTAGAAGCTGTAATGGACTGTGGCTTTGGAAACTGGTAAGAATTTAGTAGCGAGTAGTCCTATGCTCATGGGCTCAAGAGAGAAACACTATTGAAACATCAAAGGAGAGGGCCCAGAAAGTGAAGAGCGGTGCTGCTTTCCTGACAGCCAAACACTCGGGGACAAGTTTCTGTCCATGTATACATCTTCCAGGCCTGAAACATCCCCATAATGCAGGGTGCTTAGTGTTCATGACTGAGCAGTTCTCAGAGGTTACTTTGCTTACATCTACACCAAGATTGTTCTTCCTGAGTTGTAGAGACATATAGGTCACTGATCATTGCTCCCTTCTGATCTGTAGATTTCGGGCAATAGGTTCCATGTTCATTTAAGTGCATCAGGCTTGATGTAGGCATTCAGGATGGCCTGAGGTTAACTTTTCACAGCTTTCCTAATCGGTTTTGTCTAGCTTTTACACTGCCTTACTTGAGCTTGGTAGAATTAAGCAGGACTCATTACTACCGTTCTAGGTGCAGTGACGCTTTTAAAATACAAATATATATCTCAGGGCTCGGGGTGGGAGTTTTTGAGTGTGTGTATGTGTGTGTGTCGGCTGGAGATTGATATCAAGAGTCTTCCTCTCTTTTGCTCTCCAGGATATTTTGTTTGTTTGTTGTTTGTTTTTTTTAAAGACAAGGTCTCTCACTTAATCTGGAGGTCATGGAGTGGTTTCAGCTAGTTTGGGCTGGCCAACAAGCTCCCAGGATCTGTCTTTATCTGCCTCCATCGTGCTGCAGTTACAGATGCAGGCCACATGCCTAGCTTTTACATGGGTGCTGGGGTGGGAACTCAGGTCCTTATGCCTGCACAGACAGCTCTTCACCTACTGAGCCAGCTCCCAAGCTCCCAGACTTTGCGTTTTAGGAACACTTACGCTGGTAATTCTGTTTTGTCTCCTAGGAGCAGAGATGTTATTAACCATAGTTGCTCATGAAGCATCTGAAGCTTAGGGGCTTAAACTCTTTTCATTTCACATAACTTGTTAGTGAAGGGCTCTCTCCTGGATCTCCCTCGATAGCTAGCACTCATGGTCCTACCTGGTATCATTAGGTGTGCTACCCTCCCTATGTTCGGGGTCAAGAGGAAGGCCAGAGTTCAGCTTACATTTTGTTTCCATTCATTTCATTTAGCATCTAAACATCATAAAACTATGTTGTGGGGAATACCAAAGATGGTAAAAAACAGATCACTTGTGAGCAGCTCACTAGTCATCTTTGCCTGAGGTTTAATTTTTCTCTAAAGTGGGCCAAGCTTCCTCATCTTCCTTTCCTCATAGCAAAGACTAGGAAGAAGTCTATGGCTGGACTGGGGGAGGTAGCACAGTGTTAGAACTTTTACTTAGCTTGTGTGAAATGTTGGGTTCAGTCCCCATCACCACACAGAAGAACCTAGTTGCTTCTCTATGCAGTGTGGATAAGGCATCGTGTTTAGTGGTTAAGAGCACAAGAATTCAGGTTACTGCCCTCATCTGGCTATTTACCTAGTAAGGGAACCAAACTGTCTACAGCTGGCTGAGTGATGCGCTAAGGAAATGGCTGTGCAAGAGTGAGCTTGAGGTGGGGGAACACTACACAGTGGATTAAGACATTTCACCTTGATCTCGGCATCACCTTGGGTAGGAGTCAGAGGCCTCAGTATACGTTCTGGATTTGTCTTTAGCAAGTTCATTTATCTCTTTGGGTCTCTCTCTCTCTCTTTTTTTATCCTGTAGAATTGAAATAACAATATACAAGACTAATAAATACTAAAGCAATCTTAAATTATGTCAGAGTATTTGTAGTTCAGTGCCCTGCATATTCTTAGAAATTCTAGTGAAGAAATGTATTCTCATGACAGGTGTTTTATATAATATAAAACATGCAAAAATAAAACTAGATTTATATACTTTTTTTTGACAGGGTCTCAGTGTAGCCCTGGCTGGCATGGAATGCTATGTAAACCAGGCTGGCCTCAAATTCAGAGATCCCACTTGTCTCTGCCCTCCAAGTAATGGGAGTTACCTGATATTTTTGTACATTTTGTATGTTCCATGGTGGCGTCTATTGTTATTGATGATCTTTTAAGATTTTTTTAAAGGCTTATTAGTTATTTACTTACTTATTAAATTTATGTGCATGTGTGGGTATCTATATAGACATTTGTCACTGGTGTTCACATGCCAGAGGCCAGAAAAGGGAGTGGAGTTATAGGTAATTGTGAGCCACAAGAGGAAATACTTTTAACTCCTGAGCCAGCTCTCCTGCCCCTTAAAATGTTTTTAAAGTCACATTTCTTATGGTGTATGTGTATGGGTACATGCACATAGGGGTCAAAGGACAACTTATAAGAATTGTTTCTCCCCTTCCACCTTTTGAAAGAGGGGCTGTTTCTTTTTAGACAACTTCTTTCTATGTAGTCCTGGCTGTCCTGGAACTTGGTATACAGGCTAGGCTGGCCTTGAATTCTGAGATCCTCCAGCCTCCACCACCCAAGGTCTAAGATTAAAAGCATAAGCCACCACACTGTGTCTCTTTTTACTCTGTAGCCCTGGCTGATCCAGAACTTGCTAGGTGGACTATGCTGGCTTAAAACTCAGAGAGTACCTGCCTCTACCTCCTAGTATTGATATTATAGGCATTGCCACCATGCCTGGTTCCAAGGTGACTTCTTATTTACAACTCATTTTTTTTTTTTCTCTGGCCTGCCTCGGGGAGATTTATAGATGATGATGATGATGATTGAAACAGGGTTTCAAGGATCTGGCCTTTGAATTCAATATGTAGCAAAAAATCACCTTGAATTCCTGACTCTTCTATCTCTGCCTCCTAAATGTTGGGATTATAGGTATGTACCTCCATGTCTGGGCTTCATGTGGTCTAGGAAAAAGTGCTTGACCAACTGAGTTACATACCCAGCCTGTAAATTTATGGGTACTTACAGTCATCTTCTTTCCAGTGGAAAGGAAAGGTCCCTTTATTGTTTCTGTATCTTGAAGTAGCAGGATTTGGGTATCTGTGTATCACTGTTGTGCTAACATCTATTTGGAATTATCAGATTATGGATATTGTGTTGATTTGACTACAAATACAGAATAACAAACCAAGCTTCCAGTGGTCTATATAAGTAGGAAACTACTCTCTTTCCTCATTTTTCATATTTTTCTAGGCAGGATGTGGCTAATCAAATGTGCACCAAAACAAAGGAGGAGTGTGAGAAGCACTACATGAAGCATTTCATCAATAACCCTCTGTTCGCATCCACCCTGCTCAACCTGAAGCAAGCTGAGGCAGCCAAAACTGCTGACACAGCCATTCCATTTCACTGTAAGTGCCTGCCTATTTGGGTAAGAGGTGTTTAGCCCATCCTTGGGCTCTGTCTCCATAAGAACGTAAACAGTGATTTGATGACTTGGACAGATAAAGAGCTTCTGGAAGGGAAGAGGAGTTTGGTATGATAGCTGTTGAATCAGGGCCATGATATGGCAAAGAGGGAGCACATCCCAGAGGTCAGAGCTGTAGCTTTCTATTCTGGGTCTTTTAGAATATATTAACATTAATGTTTGCTTCTGTAAGATGATATGTCGCAAAGGGGCCAGTCTGTTCATGCTGTCATTTTGTACAAGCCTTATCATCCCTTTGGATCATTTATAACCAGAGGTAGGAGTTGCTAACCAGGATCCAGTATTGCCTTGGTGTTAAGTCCAAGGAGTACTTTGTACTTGGTTACAGCAGTGAAGGCAATCTTCTGTGCCTGTGGGCATCAGTGGGTCTTTTAACACAATGTAACCAAGACTTTAGGAATTACAAACTAGTGTCTTCTATGAATAACCCAGAGCACAAGTGATACATGAATGCTTTCCCATTGGCCTTCCTTTCCTCTCTCTTTGGAAACAACTTTATAGCCGACCACCTCAGAGTTGCTGATACCTCCTGTTTGAACAGTACTTTGGGTGTTAGCACTTTCCTCAAGTCCATTAGGCCCCAGTTTGTTCTTACTAGCACCTCAGTGAAGTCAATAAATGGATGCTTTTTGTTACACACGAATAAACTAAGACTTTTTAAAGGTTGAACAGTTTGTACAAGGTTTTGTTTTGTTTTTTTAAACAAGGTCTCTCTGCAGCTCTGGCTGTCATGGAACTCACTATGTGCACAGGCTAGCCTCAAATTCAGAGCTCCACCTGCCTCTGCCTCCCAAGTGCTAGTGGTACTGAGACAGTGGATTTCAAATGTGTAGAGTTGCAGTCTGGCACCAGGACACAGTCTGACTAACTTCCCAGTCCAGGATGTTTTATTTCTGAGTCGGGTGAGATTTGTAAATTGATATTGGTCCTAAGGATCAAAGGAGCAGGCACAGACAGGACAATTGGGTTCTATATCAACACTGACGAGAAGTCTACTTTCATTTCCTTTCATTTTTGGAAAGCAAAAATCAGAGGACAGGGGTACAGGATGGCTCAGCAGATAAAGGTACCTGCCACCAAGCCTGATGATCTAAACTTAATCACTAGGACCCATGTGATAGAAGGAGAGAGCTGACTTCTGAAAGTTGTCCTCTGACCTTCACACGTATGTCATGGCACATGCCTGCCTGCACAAATACATGCAAACCAGAGGATGTTTTTAGAGGATCCCTTTGGCTTAATTTCTTTCGCCAGGAAGTCAGTCTGGGGTGTGGTGGGTATGGTGGCTTGTACCTATAACCCCAGGATTGCCACTTGGAAAGCTGAGGCATGGGGATTGTGAGCTTATGAGTAGTGTAGGATATATAGTGAGTTTGAAAAACTTAGTCTCAGCATAAAATAGAAACAACAACGCTAGCACTTGGGAGGCAGAGGCAAGTGGACCTCTGAATTCAGGGCCAGCCTGTGCTTATAGTGAGTTCCAGGGCTGCATAGAGAGACCCTATCTCAAAAACAAATATGCAAAAAGAAGCTATTGTTCTTTCATAATTACATTTTTTATTCTCTTAGGTCCCTATTCTCAAAGAAATGTGTTTCAGAGGAAGTGCTCCATACCTGTAACCTAGTACTCAGCAGGCGGAGGCAAAAGAATTGTGAGAGTTTGAGCCACCCTCAGCTCCATAGTGATACAGCCTTCATATATTTTGGCCGTAATCTTCTGATGTTCCTGCTTCTGCCTCTCAGGTGCTAGGATTGCAGGCTTATGCCATCATACATTGAGAAATTCAAATCTAGAATATAAAGACATTTGACATTTTCATGCTAACGCTTTATTAATTAAGAAAAACCACGGTTTGTTTCAGCTGCAGATGACCCTCCCCGGCCTGCCTTTGACTCACTGCTGTCTCGGGACATGGCAGGATACATGCCAGCTCGGGCAGATTTCATTGAGGTAACAAGCACTTGCTTTTAGCATACAATAAGAAAAAAAATATTTTTGTTTCTGATGAGGTTATTATCTCTTTCTAAAGGGAGATTTTTTTTCCAAAACATTGTAATTTTCAAGCCTGTAGAATAACATCTCGATTGATCCTTTTCCCGTTCTGAGCATTCCTGCCTCTTTAGCAGTGACAGTTCTGAGGGAGAACTGGCCTCCTAGGGTGCAGTGGTATTGCTCCCACCAACTTCATAGGGGTGAACTTTGTGCAGTTGTCATTCTACAGTGAGGGATTTTCAAGGTTGTGCTGTCAAGGTTGGCAAGCCAAGGAACAAGTTACATTTTAAGCTTTTTAGATTAGAAAGTTTCTGTTGCAGGTGTTACTGTGCAAAAATAGCTTTAAGACATTTTGAGTTTCAGATAAGCCTAGGTTATGTACTGAGAGCCTGTCTCAGAAAAACAAAAAAAGTAGTACAGATAATATATAAATAAATAGATATGCCTGTGTTCCAATAAAATTTTACTTCCCAAGTTGGCTACGGGCTGGGTAGTGGTTGTTGAGTCCTGCTTTGTGTATTGCATGTGTTCATTAATACTGTGTTCCTCATACCCCATAGTTACCTTCTTCCCCAACTATCCTTGAGTGGACTGAACTGATCTTACTGTAGTGTATAAGTGATATCAAGACTAAACAGATTACCTCAAAAGGTGGTAAAAGGAAAATGAATCCATGCAGGCAGCTTTCTTACCATAATACTTGAAGGCCTAATCAAAGATTCTCTTTGGAATGAACAGACTATTAATAATAAGCTTGTCTTTGCTCCTAATAATGTCCTATCCCAGTGCTCTGTTCTCATGACTGCCTGAAAGTCTCTCATATTTGTCCTATGACTTTCCCGTAGAGTAGTATCCAATATAGTACTTCATAAATACTGCCTCAAAGATTTTCTCTTTGCATCTGAAGCATTGCTATTGTAAAGGCATTACTCAAAACTGATGGATTTGGATTTTTTTCCCCCTCTAACAGGAGTTTGACAATTATGCAGAATGGGACTTAAGAGACATTGATTTTGTTGAAGATGATTCAGACATCTTACATGGTAACGTTTATTTTATCATATGCTTATGGGTACAAGTGTTGATAAAACTGTGCTGGGTGCTTATGAGATTAATAAAACATGTCCCCTTCCTTTAGCAAATTCAGAGCTTAGTGGTTGGGCTGGTGACTTGGGTCAGTGGTAGAGTGTGCCCTAAGGTCTGGGTTGAATTCAGGCACTACAGAAAAACAAAATCTAGTGGTTAAGTTGTTGAATTTACCCTCTTGTCAAGTTTTAACCCATTTGAATGACTTGGGATGATAGTAAGAATACTGATCACTTAATAGTGATTGGGGACTATCCAATCCCTTGGGCTGAGGGAAGCCCACATTGAGGTAATTAATTAAGTGGCCCATCCCTCCTTAGGGAAAAGGTATACAGACCTTGGATTGGTCATTCTTCAAGCGTGTACTTTAGAACAAAAATGGGAGCTCCTATTTCTCAGAACTGTTGATTTTAAATTTTATTATTATTGTTCTTAGATAGACATTTGTGCCTGGGTGTGTGTCTGTTTGTATATATGTATATATGATGTGAACATACATCTCAAGGTCAGAGGGTAACCTCACGTGTCATTCTTTGGGTACTGCCCTTCATTTTTCTTGAGACTCTCACTCTAGCCAGAACTTGACAAGTCTTAGATAGCCAGTGAGCCCTGGGGATGCGGTTGTCTCCATCTTCCAGGAATTGTAAGTATGTACCACTGAGCCCAGCTTTTCTGTTATATGGGTTCAGGTTAAGAACTGTACCAGCTGAGCTGTTTTCCCAGCTCCCCTTTCCCATTTTAAAAATGGAGACATAGCTTAGGGTCTCCAGCTTGCCTTCTAGCCAAGAATGATCTGGAATTCCTGATCCTGTTCTCAGGGGCTGCATTTACTGGGGACGCTTCTCTGGAAGCGTGACCATGGCTAGCGTATGTTACCCCAGCAGTCTCATAGAACACTAAGTGAAGGGGTCCAGGAGCCTGAGAAGACTCAGAAAACAACAAGAAGGAACTTTTAAGCATACTTGGCACACAGGAGCACAGACTGATGGGAATCAGGACATTGATTCAAGTTTGGGCTTGCATCTGAGTCACTGTGGAATCTTGGGCAAGTCCTTAGAGTCCTGCTTGCTGTTTCTTTGTGTCCCAAATCAGAGAAGAATGAGTGGCACTGATTAGTCAGGGTATAATGTCTGCAGTGAATGGTGGTGTGCAATGCAGAGTGGTATTGCTGTTCCATACCATTATACTCTCCATGTGACTGGGTGTTAGCAACATTCCTTTCAGGCTCCCTCACTCACAGTACTGGAAGAAATATGGACTTATGCCAACAAGCTCTTTCGTTGTGACCCAAAGATTTGCATTGATTCATGGAATTTACCCAATAAAGTTGGCTTTATGGCCCATTATAGAGGCATGGGATACAATAGAGGGATAGTTAATTGCATTCCAAGTATACCAGAAGGTTCCCGGCATGAGCCCAGGAAAAGCTTGTTCTGTGAAGCAATGTCTGAGGAAAATAAGGAAGTTCTCATAAATGGTACCATCTCCTACCTTCTTGAAGTAAGCTATTACTGATTCAGAAAGAAACATAGAGGACACATTAACTCAGCGCTCTGCTCTTGTGACATTGTGAGATTTCCAGGCAGATGCTTAGTAAACCCAATCCTCATCTCCTACCTCCCATCTCCCTCATCTCCCTCTCCCCCGCCCCCCCTTTTTGAGACATGGCTTTTCTGTGTAGCCTTGGCAGTCCTGGAACTCACTCTGTAAACAGACTGGCATCGAACTCTAAGATCCACCTGCCTCTGCCTCCCAAGTGCTGGGATTAAAGGCATGTGCCACCACAAGGCCCAGGCTTAACTCCTTTCATCTGGGAAAATCTTTCAATATGTAGACAGTCCCCCCTTTTTAAGATTTATTTATGAGTGTTCTGTCTTCATACACACCTGCATGCCAGAAGTGGGCATCAGATCCCAGTATAGATTGTTGTGAGCCACCATGTGGTTGCTGGGAATAGAACTCAGGACCTCAGAAGAGCAGACAATGCTCTTAACTACTGGGCCATCTCTCCAGCCTCAATAGCCCCTTTCTTAAGTGTGCCAGGGTCCTAAACTTATGGATGAATCATCTTTCTGCTTATTATTCCATAACCCAGGCAAGCTGGAGGCATCAGACTCTGTATGCTGAGTCAGTGTTTGCAGTGCTTCTCAGGGTTACAGGTTAGTCTAGTTTGTGCTCCTTCTGGCTATTTGGTTTTGGTCTAGCTCTGTAGACAAGGCTGGCTTAGAAGCGCTGTGTAGACCAGGCTGGGTTGGGATCCTGGTGTGTCTGTCTGCTTTTCATTCATATGCCACCATGCCAGACTTTTAATGCCATATCTGTGGAAAACTAATTTCATCAAGGTTTCTCAGTCAGAGCATATTTCTTTTTTTCTTTTTTTTTTTTTTTCAGAATATATATATTTAATTTAAATTCCCAGGTTTAGGCACTTAACTGTGTACCAGAGATCCAGCTGGTGTTTTTGCATTCGCTTGTTACGGTTCCTCATTTCGTAGAAATTCAGCATGGAAAGGTCAGGTACTCGCCTGCTATGTACAGGTAGCGAGTAGCAGACCATCCCCACAGTCTGTTTTTAGCACTGCACACTACTCTCTAGTTGTTGTTGGTTTTCTGAGGGGATAATGTTTGTTTACTTGTATGTGTACAGTATGTGTGTGCCGGCATGTATACCATGACACTAACATGGAGGTCAAAGGGCAACTTCCAGGATTTGCTTCTCTTCTTCCACCATGTGGATTTCAGGGATCAAACTCAGATTGTCAAGTTTGGAGGTGTGAGTCTCTACATACTGAACCATTTTACTGGCCCTTATTTATTTATCTCTTCTTGTTTATTGAGTTAGGGTTTTACACTGTAGCCTAAGCTGGCCTCAAATTTGTGGCCATTTTTCTGTACTGGCCTTCCCAGTGCTGGGATCACAGGCAAGAACCACCACACCTACCACATCCAGCCTTCACATCGTTAGGATTTTGTTGCTGTTCTTTTCTTGGCTCACACTTTTCGCCTTGTGTACCCGCACTACGAGGAGGTGGGAATAGAAGTGCTCCCTTTTTACATTCAAAGACTGGCTTCCTGGCAGCTGACTTGAACCATCAGGGCACATAGCTTTCATTTGTAGAATTATTTTTGCGCATCTTGACCAAAAGCTTGCAGGGGTGGGATGACAGTTTTTATTTTATTTACTTGGTTTGTTTTTCAAGACAGGGCTCTGCTATGAATCCATTGCTGCCCTGGAACTCACTCTGTAGACCAGGCTGCCATCAAACTTTTCATGTGCTGGGATTAACGGTGTGTGCCACCACATCTGGCCCTATTTTATTATGTTTCTGAGGGACAGCACTTTATTTTTTTAAACTTTGGGCTGTGTGTGTGGTGTGTGTGTATGCATGCATATGTGTATGCATGAGAAGGCCAGAGGAAGATGTCGGGTGTCTTCCTTTATCACTATCCCCTTACTTTTTGAGACAGTGTTGCTCATTGAACCTGAAACTCCCCATTTTGGCTAGGCTAGCTGTCAGCAAGCTCCCAGGATCTGTCCAGCTCTGTTCCTCCAGACCTAGTGTTACAGGCATATGCAGCCATGCCCAGTTTTTACATGAGTTCTCAAGATTTCAACTCAGGTCCTTTTGTCTGTAGCAATCACTGTTACCCACTGAGCCATCGCCCTAGCCTCTTAATATTTTAGGATTTTTTTTACACACCTTTAATCCCAGCAGTCACAAGGCAGAGACAGGAGGATCTGTGAGTTTGGGGTCAGCCTGGTCTCTGTAGTGAGTTCCAGGACAACATAAATATCTCAAAAGCCCCCTAAAGAGCTTTATTTTTACTATTTTTAATTATGAATACTTACTATTTTTAATGTGTGTGTGTGTGTGTGTGTGTGTGTACATAGCTATGTTCATATGAGTGCTGGTACCTACAGAGGCTAGAGGTGTCAGGTTCCCCAGGAGCTTGAATTATAAGCCATTTTGAGCTGCCAGACTTGGGTGTTAGGAATTCTCTGCAAGAGCTCATGACCACTGAGCCATCTCTGCAGTCTTGCCCCTTGTTTACCTGAGGAAGACTCTCACATAGCACAAACTGACCTCAGAATGACCTTGAACCTAATCCTCCTGCCTTAGCCTCCCCAGTGCTGGGATTGCAGGTGTGACTTGGAAAGCTTGCTTCTGGGCATCACCTGTTTGTGCCCTTGCAGTGAGGGTTTTGATTGGCCTCTCTGCTGTTTAGTCCTCTCAGTTGATTTTCTCGCCAAGCAAGCAGTAAGTGCCTTCTGTCAAGAAAACAGAAACATGTTGCTAGCTATTTTGAACAATGTTAGAAATACATTGCAGTGGGAAGGAGCTGCCTCTGTCTTCTGCCCACTTCTTGAAATATTTTAAGGCCAGCCATTTGGAAACTATCAGTCCCCAGTGTAACCACAGAGCGACTGTTCTTCCCGAGAGCTGAGAGTTCAGGGCCTTGTGTCAGTGGGTGGGTTCTGGGTGGTTCTGTTTGGTGGTCTCTGGCCAGTTTGTCTGGCTCAGAGCAGGATATGAACTGATGATTCTCAGTCTCTCGGAGCCTGCCTTCTCATTTACATCCTGCCCTGCGTCTGCCTGGGTTGTCCGTACTGTTAAGATCTTGCAATCTCTGTTGCTGAGTGTGCTTTATAAGGAAAGGGGTTAGTTTCAAATACTAATTTTTCTCTGGAAGGATTCCAGTTCTCCTCCCATTGCTGCTCTTTCTTTTCTTCCCTTGTTGCCTGGAGCCAATGGCACTGACATGATTGGGCAGTAGAACCAGTGGTTAGAAGTATTTATTTAGAGATTATTTTTGTAGTACCGTCCTAAGGTTTCTTCTGTTTTAATTTAGCATTCCTACACAAGTCTTGGGAAACAACACAGTAAAGTTAGCATTTTACAAAATTACAAAAATATTTTTATCAAAATTAGCCTTAATTTGCACTGATCTTCAAGATACTTCTTTTCTATAGAATTTAACTGAATGGATAGATAAATGACGTGAAGGACTTAACCTAAGTGTGAGTTCTCTTGAGTATTTCTATTATAACTTTTGCTCCCTTCTGTTTGGAATTATTACTTCTCAGTCCTTCCATTCTCATAAGAAACTTCATTATAGACTTTGTATGTGGTCATGCTATATGTCAGAGACACTTCCTCTCTTCCTTTTTCAAACTTCTTTCCTTTCCACAGCCTGCCTACCAACCATCTGTTAAACAAAGGCAGGGTGTGGATTGTCCTGTGGTATCAGGACTGTTACATAGAGCAGCCCCAAATCAAGAACGATTTCATTCTTAAAAGTTTGTAATGCTGAGTGTGATGGCACATGCCCTTATTCCTAGCACTGGGGAAGGAGAAACAAGTATATCTCTGTGAGTTCGAGGGCAACCTTCTAGGCCAATCAGGGTTACTTAGTAAGATTGTCTTAAAAAAAAAAAGAGAGAAAGAAAAGAAAAAAGAAAGAGAAAACAAAAGGGGGTGGCAATTTTGTTACCTAGAGGGTTTGGAAATCCATCTTCTGATTTTTTTTTTTTTTTTTTTTTTTTTCCTGTCAAGCTTTCACATAGCACAGGCTGGCCTGGAATGCTGATACGCCTGTCACTATTTTCCAAGTGTTAGGATTGTATGTGTGTACCACTGTGCCTAGCTAAAATTTATTATCTTGCCTCCAGCCTACCAGGATTGTACAGAGCTGGAGACTTTTGTTTGCCTTGCCTTCATATAGGGAAAGAAATTGCTGATTCTTATGAACCATTATATGCTGTTCTCTCACTTCAGTGGTTATATATATTTTTTCTCCTTCTACCATATAGTCTGGTTTAAGTAGAAATGGGGGTTTCAAGCTGTTCTGTGGAAGGACCCTCAGGGACTGCTGCTGGGAAAGGTAGCTGGGCCTAGAGTAGGAGGCTCTGCTGGATGAGATCTGACTTACTCTGCTAAGTAAGATTTTGTTTGAAAACAGTGTTTAAAACTAATAGAACGTGACTCATTGCCATCCTGGGCTAACCTTGAATGTGGACCTCTGTTCCAAGGGTGAGGATGAGATTGCATTGCTTTTGAATTACCAGCATTCCAGGGGCTCTGGGCTGCAATTTAGAATAAAGCTTATTTGTTGAAAGATAAATGTGTATTCCTATACATAGTCAAATTCATTGCTAGAAAGACTGGTGTATTTTTGAAGATTGTAATTACCTGACACTTGGATTGTGCACTTTGGTTTTTCAAGGCACATGGTAGGTTGCTCGGTGGTGCTGGGGCTTCTTCCTTCCGTGAATGTGTTCAGTGATGAAAAATCCCAAACACCACACAACGTTTACGCAAAGCTTAAGGACATAACAAGTTCCTAAGATAGTTCCAGAGTGTACTGAAGTCACTAAATTAAGATGCTTTCAGACTCAATGAGAAGAGTGGTTATTAAGCAGCGTAATGCTAAGTTATGTGTTGCTCATGGTTTCTTCTATAATTGTTAATAATTAGCCTTCATTTTTTAACCCTGGAGGTCTTCTAATTATAAACTGCCTGTGGGTTTTTTTTTAACTTTTTTTTTATTAATATATTATTAATAAACCAAGTTTAGGATAGGACTAACAGAGAAAATAAAGCCACTAACAGATAGCCAACACATGGAAGGTTCTTTTTTTTTTTCCCCGAGACAGGGTTTCTCTGTGTATCCCTGGCTGTCCTGGAACTCAGTCTATAGACCAGGTTGGCCTCAAACTCAGAGATCTGCTTGCCTCTGCCTCCCAAGTTTGGGAAATTAAAGGCTTGTGCTACCATGCCAGCTTCACTGTTTTCTAACAGCTGTGGACCCAGATCACCTGCATTTAGATTCCTGATCTTTTCTTAGCAGTGTGTAGACAGTGTTCAGGGGCTGGTTGTTTTCTTAGCATGGTGTAGACAGGCTACAAGGGGATCATAGGAAACAAGATAGTGGAAGGCCGTTTGTATCATGGAGAGCTTGAGCTCCTGTAAGTGGTGGGGTGAGGGGAAGGGTTAGAAGCAGAGGACCTGCACTATCAAATTGAGTTGTAAAATAATAGTCGGAGTCCCATTTGGAGGAGGGAGCAGGGGAAGGCAGGGGCCACAGTCAGTAAGTATGAAATGTTCTTCTACAGGGAGGCATTGAGATGACAAGAGGCAAAATGCCTGCATTGAGGGGTGCGGTTAGACAGAACGAGAAGCGCCTGGGAAACACTAGATATTTAGATTAGATTCTGGCTGGCTATATAGGAAGAGGGGGAAAAAGGGTCCAGGTTAGTTCTGTCTTGGGCAGAAACTGGCTTTACTGTAATGCTGTTAACCAAGGTGAGAGTTTTAGAAGATGGGAAAGAAGCAGAAATATGTAAATCTACCACGGAAGCCTTGTGAGTAGGGACATCCAGCTTAAAAGAGTTGTGAGAGTTTTAGATCTTATAGTCTGGTGGAACAAGGAACCCCGGAAGGCCAAGAGCTTGTACAATTGAGGTGAGGAGTGAAAAGAGAGACAGGAACAGAAACCTTAGGAACTTTGAAGATGGACAGAACAGGGTGGGGAAGAGAGAGCAGGACTGTTGCACTGATTCCAGCTCTTCGTCTTGTTTACCGTGAGACAAAAGCTAGAAGAATTGGGGCATGAGGAAGCAAGGCATAGCTTTTACAGTGGTTAAACTGCTTAAGGCATCTGTTCATTTAGAATGCAGAACTCAGCACTGTAGACAGTTGCTGTTACCCACCTGAACATACTACACTCAGCATTCCAACGCTGTCCATCAGGGCCGTCCTGTCATTGTCTCTTGGGCTTAACCCTGGGTAGTTACACCAGTACTCATTTTTTTAATATATATATATATGTTAATATATATAACTGGAGGTTATATGTGGTACAGCACTTGCCCGGTCTGGGTTTGTTTGCCAGTGCTACTAAAATAATGATAACAATTGTTACTATTTATGATGAAGAGGGAATGTTTTTCATAGAATAGTTAAAGTTTGGGTAAACCAGGCATGGTGGTACAGCTCTCAGGAGGCAGAGGCAGGACAGTGGGTGTCAAGTTCAAAGCCAGCCAATATATATATCAAAACTCTGGGTCAACACCTTCCTTTAAAAGTAATTTTTTGATGGAGGAGATTTTTTTGTCTTGACCTTTATTTTTATGTTTATTACTTATATGTGTATTTTTGTATTTATAGCTCTGAAGATGGCTGTGGTAGATATCTACCATTCCAGATTAAAAGAGAGACAAAGACGAAAAAAGTAAGTATGGAAAAGCCATCCTGTCTTCTCTCACCTTTGGACTGTTGATTGCATGTTGTCCATAGGCTTTGCTTATGGCTTACCATATAACCTTGTAGAAGACACTTAACCTCCTTGAGCCTCAATGTCTGCCTGTCAAACAATTCCAGTCAGCAACTCCAGTCTTGTTTTACTCCTCTGATGCTCTGTGGGTATGATGAATAATGTGAGGAAACTATTTAAGCTTTTTTTTTTTTTTTTTTTTTTTAAAGACCAATTTTAAATGGGTTTGTTTGGTTGGTTGGTTGGTTAGTTTTTTTTGAGACAGGGTTTCTCTGTGTAGCCCTTGCTGTCCTTGACTCACTTTGTAGACCTGGCTGGCCTCGAACTCACAGAGATCCACCTGCCTCTGCCTCCTGAGTGCTGGGATTATAGGTGTGTGCCAGTAGTGCCTGGATATAACCAGTCTTTCATCCAGAATGCTTTTAAAGAAATTCTGGCAAGTTTTAGATGCCACTTTCCAGCAAACCAGAAATAAAACACTCCAAGCCAGGAGGTCTAGATCAGCAGCAATGTGAGGCCCCAGGATCAATCTTCAGAAACTCCCAAAATGTTTTTGCTTTAATTTTCATAGTAGGTAAATAGATAAATAGAAGACAGACAGACACACACACACACACACACACACACACACATATATATATATATATATATATATATCAAGACTTAAAAATTATGAAATCTAAGCCGGGGGCATTGGCGCATGCCTGTAAACCCAGCACTTGGAGAAGCTGAAGCAGGCGCAGATCTCTGTGAGTTTAAGGCCAGCCTGGTCTACAAAGCAAATCCGGGACAGTCAGGGCTCTTCTTCTACAAAGAAACCCTGTCTCAAAATACCAAAAAAAGGAAAAAAAAAAAGTCTAGACCTTTCTTGTATTACAGTGGCTCACAATTCAGAAAAAGGTAGGCCAAGTGTATGAATGTACAGTCATGTACCATGTGCGCAGACATGTTTGTTATTGTAGCAGTACTAATTTCTAGACTCAGTTGTATCAGCAGTAAAAAGCGGATCGCATTGGGAGGCACTCAGAGGTCGAAGAAGTGGTCTGTCGTGAGTTCCTGCACGTCTAGACAGCTTCCATGGAGTGCCGCAGAAGCTCAGAGCTGCTGCCCTGAGAAGCCTCGTTGCTAGTCACCCACGTCTCTGCCGTAAACCAGAGGTTCTGGATATGTAACCAGTGTAGTTTGCTTGAATTTACTTTGCAGAGCGCTCACAGTTAGAGAGTGTTGTAGAACTTGGTTGTTGAGAGTTGCTGTTAAATCTTATATTTCACGATGCTCTTCCATTAAAACATGATCAGTCTATATTTATTTCAAGTGGCTTCAAAGTATGTTAATGCATGGTTGTAAATGCTTAATGTGTGATCATCTCCTTTCATGGGTAGCAGTCCATTTAGAGCAATGATTCTCCTGTTTCCTAACACTGTGGCCCTTTAATACATTCCTCATGTTGTGGTGACCCCCAACCATAAGATTCTTTCATTGTTAAAATGTAATTTTGCTACTGTTATGATTCATATTGCAGATATTGATAATTAGGATATCTATTCTGTGATGCCCAAAAGAGTTGTGACACGGGGCTGGAGAGATGGTTCAGAGGTTATGAGCACTGGCTGTTCTTCCAGAGGTCCTGAGTTCAATTCCCAGCAACCACATGGAGGCTCACAGCCATCTATAATGAGATCTGGTGCTCTCTTCTGGCCTGCAGGTGTACATGCAGACAGAACATTGTATATATAATAAATGACTAAATAAATAAATAAATAAATCTTAAAAAAAAAAAAACAGTTGTGACACACAGGTTGAAAATTGCTGGTTTACAGGCTAATTCAGAAGTGTATAGAGACTGATCTGGACCCTGATATTTCACCTCATATTGTTTCTGATGTATAATAAGAACTATATATATAGAAGACACAAATGTGACACCTTCTTGTAAAATACTTATTTATTTATTTATTCATTCATTCATTTATTTATCTATCTATCTATCTATTTACTTATTTATCTATCTATCTATCTAGCTAGCTAGCTAGCTAGCTAGCTATTTATTTATTTATATCAAGGCAGGGTTTCTTTGTGTGGTCCTGGCTGTCCTGGAAGTGGTTTTGTAGACTAGGCTGGCCTGGAACACACAGAGATCTGCCTCCCAAGTGCTGGGATTTCACATGTGCCTTACCATGCCCAACTGAAATTTACTTTTAATGATAGATTTGTGGTTTTTCATTCTAGGATTATAAGAGATCATGGATTAGTCAACCTTAGAAAGTTCCGATGTGAGTATGTGCTGACTTTTTTATTCTAAGTTCTTCTAAAATTATTGAGTAGTTTCAGATCAGTGTAGGAGTATTCATAATCCACATTGCATGCTAGCTAGCATCACTTAGGAAGATTTAAAAATTCTGATGCAGGACTTGGAATGTAGCTCACTGGTAGATGGGTATCTAGCATGTTTGAGGAGACATTGATCCCTTGCACAGAAACCAAAAGCAAAACAAAACCAAAAGTGTTTGAGGCAGCTCTGATCCCTAGTGACAGTAAAGAGCCATTCATTTATAGTCAACAACATTGCCTAAGAATTGGTACAATAATTACAACGTGAATATTAATGGATCATTTTCTAGACAGTCATGTTTTGAAACTATGTGTTAAACATAACCTTGTTCTTCAGGTTATAAAAACACTTTTGTAGGACTGGAGAGATGTCTCAGCAATTAAGAGCACTGCTGCTCTTACAGAGGACCCAGGTTCAATTCCCAGCACCCACATGGCAGCTCACAACTATCTGTAACTCCTGTTCCAGGAGATCTGACTCCCTCCACAGACATACATGCAGTCAAAACACCAATGTACATAAAATAAAAACAAATTTAAAAAAAAAGAAAGAAAGGAAAACCAGTAGAGAGGTTGATGTCTCACAATTAGAAGAGTGTCTGCCTCAGTACAACATAAATCAACTTGTCATACAGGGATATTGCAGATGAGATATGCACATAGTTTTTCCTGGTTAATTGTGCTTTTCTAGATATTCTTGGTTGGTTGGTTTTTTGGTTTTTTTTTTTTTTTTTTTTTTGAGACAAGTTTTTGCTGTTTGCTCTGGCTGGCTTAGAAGTTTCTATTCTAGACAAGGGCCAGCCTCAGAATTGTGATTGTCCTTCTGCCTCAAGTACTAGGATTACAGGCTTCTGCCTCTGCGCCCAGCTGGATAGTTTCTTATGTCTTTGCTTTCCTTGTTTTCCTGCAGTAATCCATGCTAGAAATTTTGGCCGGCATTGTGTCTAATAACACAGGTTCTGCCTTTAATTCCCTTTTGTGACTGCAGTGTCTGGTCCTATGCGTGGTCCCAGGCAGATTAAAAGCTGTGAGCAGGGACATCAATAGTACTTAGTAGTAGAGATGGTTTCCATGATAACAGCATCTCTTTGTGAGGTGCTTGATGCTTTAATTATGATTACATTTGCATTCTCAGCTCTCCTGTTTGCATGCTGTCATGGGCAACTTAGTCATGTGAGGTTAGGAAAATATTCCTGAATTTCACTTCTTGTTTTAAAAAATAACGCCACAAACTTAGAGGTCCTTACATTTTCTGTGACATGTTGTGTTTCATTTCTTCTAGTAATGGAACGGCGGTATCCCAAGGAAGTTCAAGACCTTTATGAAACAATGAGGCGATTTGCAAGGATTGTGGGACCAGTGGAACATGACAAGTTCATTGAAAGCCATGCATGTGGGTGTTTTTTGGAATTCGTGTGTTGGGGAGGGTGGAAGTGGATGGGTGGGTGTGGGAGGGGGGAGGGAGAAGGGAGATTTAAAAGCTTAGTGAGGGCAGGGGAATAGCACAGTGGGTAAGAGTGCTTGCTGTATAAGCATGGGGACCTAAGTGTAGATATCAACACTTACATGAAAAGCTGGGTTTGGCCATCTTAGTGCTTGTTAGCTAGGTGTTGGCCAGCAAACCCCTAGCTCTAGGCTCCATGAGAGACTATCTCACAAGAATAAGATGGAAAATTATATTACAGGACACCAATGTTGCCCTCTGGCCTCTGTGTGCTTATGTACACCACACATACACACACACATTTCACTCATACTCACACACACACCCCTACACACAGAGACACATATACACACACACATACATACTCACACAGGCGCGCGCGCGCACACACACACACACACACACACACACACACACACACTGCTACAGACACAGACACACACTTACACGCGCCATACACTCCTACATATCAAAGAGAGAAAAAACTTAGTAACTTACAAGTTAGTAGATGGCTTTTGTTTGGGGGATTTTTTTTATTTTATTTTGTTTCTTTTTGTCTTTTAAAATAGAGTCTTGCTATGTGTGTAGCCTAAAACTTGTTGAGTAATCCCAGCTGGGGTCTGACTTGCTATCCTCCTGCCTTTGCCTTGCTAGAACTGCATTCTGGGTGTGTGCCACAATGGGTAGCAGTTTTTACAGGATATGCCAGGGAGCTGGATGGCCTATGTTGGTGGTTTTCATCACATTAGCCATCCTGCCCCATCTGAGTGGCTGTGCCCTTTCCTCTTGCCCATAAGCTCGTTATTTTGAAGCCAATTCTAAACATTGTATTATTTTGCCTATAAATATTTTAGTATTAAAACTAGTTTAAGTTATGGGAACAGGATTGTTGACTCGTGGAAATAGTACTTTCATATTCCTCTGGCCTTTCTCTGATGGTCCTGAGAGCATTCATCTTAGTTATAATTGGCTCTTCCACTATAAAAAATATTGAAGTTGTTAAGCAGGAAGGCCTAGGACTTTGAGGCTGCCTGGACTGAGGGCTTATTTCTATATTCTCCTCATGAGAGCTGTATATTTACTTGGCTCTTCAGTTTAGTTCTAGGAAGTCTTATTTTGAGTTACTTTGATTTTCTAGAAAAATTCTTTACCACTGCTCATTGTGCAAATATTTCTTGGGAAGAATCACAGGCATTTATCTGAGCCAGATTAATTGTTCTCAGGAAACACCTTGCTTAGTTGTCATTCTTTGTGTGGTTGGTATTGAGTGACTTATTCTTTACTTCCTGTCCTAGTTTATATCATTCCTGGGGTATGTGTCACTACAGAGAACTACACCCTATGGGTGGCTTTTCCTTCATCTCGTGTTTGAAAAGCACCCAGGTTGGAATGATCTGTTACAGAATAATCTAGCAGTGTGCTCTGAGTTGTGTTCTCAGCAGCAGTTTTTGGTTTATGGAAAATGCAGTGCTTTTTGTTCCCTGTAGGAAAAAGCTAAAAAGAAACCAGGGCTTGAGCAAAGCCTTCCTGTGAAGCAGGGCCTCATCTAGAGGCAACCTGCATCAAAAAAAAACATGGCTGTGTGAGTAGAAAGGCTAACACAGTAGGTGGAACTGCAGCATTTACATTTTAAAAAACAGGATTTTGTTTGTTTGTTTTTGAGACAGAGTTTCTCTGTATAGTCTTGGCTGTCCTGGAAGTCACCCTGTAGAACTGTCCTAGAACTCAGGGATCCATCTACCTCTGCCTTCCAGGTGCTGGAATTAAAGGTGTGTGCCACCACCACCCAGCTAAAATATTATGTCATTACTTTTATTCATAAATGAAGAGAGCCAGTTTGCTCACATTTTAGGTGTCTCCTAAAGTCCTAGGTGTTGCATTTGGAAGACAATTGGAGTAGGTTCTTCTCAACTCTTGGGAGGCATTTCTTTGTTGTTTGTTTTTGAGTGAGAGTCATACTATGTAGCTCTGGTTGTTCTGGAACTCACTTGGGAGGAAGAGACAGGGGGATCTCTGTTAGTTCAAGGCCAGCCTAGTCTACATAGTGAGTTCCAGGACAGCCAGAGCTCCACAGAGATACCCGTCTCAAAAAAAAGAAAAGGAAAGGAAAAAACAGAATCCTAAGGTGAAGTCACCTGCCTCTACTTATGGCAGAATCACTGAAACACACCCAGCCACTTCCTGACATTGATTTGCTTTTTCAATTTTTCTCCTTTGCTCCTTTGCTGGAAAACAGTGGAATTTGAACTTCGAAGGGAAATCAGGAGGCTCCAAGAATATAGGACAGCAGGCATTACCAATTTTTGTAGTAAGTATGCTTCTACTACCTACAATATCAAAGTGCCTGTGACTTGCAAATACAAGAGGAAATCTAGAACACTTAAAAACAAACAAAAAACCTTTTCAGAAGAGTTTTTAGAATTTCTAGTAAAGTTTCATCTCTTCAGTTCCTGTAAATATCATTAGATTACCAGGATAAAAGTAGAGTTATGGCACACCGCGAAAAGAAACACTGCTTTAGAATTGGGAGTCTGCTGTGGCGCTCTCCCTTTCTCTCACACAGGCAAACAAGCAGAAGGGAGTGAAGAGTAGGTTGTGTGATTCTTATGTTTTGGGTTTTAACCTCAGCCTTTTAAAACTTATTCAGGCACAGCCTAAATTTTCATTTGCCAGGCTTCTATCATTTACTTAATACCTACCAGGTCTACAAGTACATGTACCAGTATCTATGGGATACATTTCACCTTCAAGTCATTGGATATCATGACAAACTTATGGGGAATTGTCACTTCAAGTTAATAAAGAAATCAAAGTTTAAGGGCCAGAGAGATGGCTCAGAGGTTAAGAACACTGGCTGCTCTTCCATAGGTCCTTAGTTTAATTCCCAGCAACCACATGGGGGCTCATAACTGTCTATAGTGAGAGCTGGTGCCCTCTTCTGGCATGCAGGTAGAACACTGTGTATATAATAAATAAAATAAATCTTTAAAAAAGGAAAAGAAAGACAAGGAAAAAAAAAAAAGGGAGATTTCAGGTGTAGACATATACTTGGCTCCTGGGAAAAGTTATAAGAGCAGTTGAAGTAGCCAATGTTGGCTGAGCTTAGTTAACAGGCCCTTTGGCTCTGTTGTGTTGTCCTTGCAGTCATGTGTTTTCTACCCCTCCAGGCGCCAGGACCTATGATCACCTGAAAAAGACGCGTGAAGAAGAGCGCCTTAAACGCACCATGCTTTCAGAAGTTCTCCAGTATATCCAGGACAGCAGTGCATGTCAGCAGTGGCTTCGCCGGCAGGCTGACATGTACGCAGTTAGTCAGGGCTGAAGGAAGCACTCCTTCCAACATGCTTTGGCCTTCTTGTACATTTTTGGACACTGTTGTGGGTTCTCTGGATGGAAGAGTAGTAAGGTTTTTTTATCAATCCATATAGAAACAACGTAGAACTGGCAGGCTTAAGAAACATAACTGGCCTTATGCAATTCTCTATTCCTGTTTGTGTCTGTTTTTTTTGGTCTTTCAAGACAGGCTTTCTCTGTGTAGTCTTCGCTGTCCTGCACTCGCTTTGTAGACCAGGCTGCCCTCAAACTCGCAGAGATCCACCTGCCTCTGCCTCCCTGAGTGCTGGGATTACAGGCATGCACCATTTTACCCAGCTTCCTATTTTGTTCTTATTTAAAAAAAAAAAAAAATAGTGAATTTGAAGCTGGTTGTGGTGACGCACCTCTGTAGTCACAATGCTGTGGAAATGAAGGTGGCAGTACTGCTGTGAGCTCCAGGCCAAGGAAAGGAGACACAGTGAAACCTGGTCTCAACTCCACTCCCACTATGTTTGTCCTCGCTTAGATGCTAGTGTGCTTTTTGTTAAAATTCTCCCTCTCTATGAATGGCTTTAGTGATGTCCCCTGTTAAAAGTCCTTAGCAAAGTTGAGGGAAGTTTTTCTCTTTGGAGTACATTTTCTTTCCTGTACAGCGAGACATCCTATAAAATGTCACACAGTCTCACCATACCTCTTCTTGGGTGGCCTTGATAAATACACCCAGTCCTATGAGGAGTTTTAAAAATTGCCTTCTTTGATATGACCTAAGTTTAAATTTCTTTGTTTTAGTGATTCTGGGCTGAGTCCTTCTGTTCTGATGGCTTCAAACTCAGGTAATGATTTCTCAGGCTAATGAAAGGGATGTTATGGGTTGTTTTTTGTTTTGTTTGTTTCTTTTTCAGAACTGAAAATTGAGCCCAGGACCTCTCACATACTGAGCTATTCTCCTAGTCCAGAGCAAGTGTGGACTGGGATGTTTACATTTCACTGGGTTATGGGGACAAAGCTACACTCCTTTTGTGGAGCATGGTGTGCTAGTTTGTGGACAGCAGCATGCTCTCAGACACCTCAGTCAGATCATGGCTCAGAGCGACACTTCTTTTTACTGGCGTTTACAGTCAGGGCTGGAGTTGTAGCTGTCTCAGAGTTGCGCTGTACTTGGAAGGTGCTACCTGAAGAGCTTTGTATTTAACATGAAACAGCAGCTCACTTGCCACAAACTCAAGGATTTCTTGTAAGTTGGAGACTTAGGGAATTTCTGCATCTGAGCTTTACCCCTTTTGAGTTTGTCCTATTTTAAGCAAGGTTAAGCCAGTGCAGACTGGTGGATCTTGTTGACTGTTGACTGTGACTAAGTATTTGGGGAGATATTAGTTGGGATGTTCCTGAGCCAAAACTGTGGTCCTGATCACCATTCACTCCTGCCCCATATGACAGTGTTTCTTCTAATCTGAATATTCCTCTGTCAGAAGCATAATGGTCTAATGTGACCCAGTTACCAGTTCACCATTCTCTGTAACATCAAACCTTTGAAATTCTCTTAACATTAGCTGTGATGGCACACAACTGAACAAAGTCTCCATATGTTAAGGATCTAATAGTGCTCACATATGGGCATTTGGTGGATACTTGTTTTCCTTTGTCTTACGTAATTCTTTTTACTTAAAGATTTACTTATGTGTATGTGCCTGAGTTATATGTGTGTACCATATGTGCCTGCAGAGGCCAGAAGAGGGCATTGGGTCCTCCAGAACTGGAGTTACAGACATTTGTAAGTTTGCTTAACTAAGTGCTGGAAACTGAACCTGGGTTCTTTGCAAGAGCACCAAGTGCTCTTAACCACTGAGTTGTGTCTTCAGCCCCTCAAATAATTATTTGATACTTGAGAGAACTGAGAGGCTTCTAAGGAGTCACCAAGCAGCAGAATCCAGGTTTTATTTTATAAGCTTCTTATTTCACCACCACCACCTCATGCTAAATACAGAAATCAAAAGATTGCTAACTAAAATCACTGTACAGCTTTGGTTTTTAATCAGCACTCACCACTCACTATTTTTTCCTAGGCTCATGTTAGCCTTTCCTCCTTCCTTTCTAGCCCCTTGTGTTAAATGTTGAGATTCCTGACTCCCTTTTATGCCCTGAGTTGCTTTTCAGGCAATAAAAGATTGGGAGCCCAGCATCCCAGATTATAGTCTAGCCTTGGAAGACTTGTGAGGAAGCACATGATTTTCTCCCCATTTCTAAGCATTCAGGGAAAGCCCTTAGCCTTTTTGATGTCCCTGAGAATCAGGTTTTCCAGAACAGTTTAAGAAGTTCTTTCCTTCTGCCTCATTCCACTGACAGTCATCACAAAACCTAACTTATTGCATCCCTCCTCACCTGGGAACTCATCCAAAGCAGATATTCAGAATAAAACCGGGGGCCGGTGAGATGGCTCAGAAGGTAAAGGTGCTTGCTATGATGGCAATGCTGGCACCCTGGGTTCCGTCCCTGGAACTCCTCTGGTAAAGCTAGCAGGCTAGGAGGAGGGAATTTACACCACACAGTTGTCCTCTGACCTTACATCTGTGGCCTGTGCCACACATGCTTAATGATCATCATCATCATCATCATTCAGTGAAGGAATAAAACTCTTGTGCATTAATCTTTATATACTGGTCTGGCCTGGCAAGTCCGATGCTGCCTCCTGTTTGGGTTTCTTTCGTAGACATGAAGTTGACCTTGGTCTCTACAACTTCATATATTCATAAAGCAAATATGGCATTTGGCTTGTTGTTCCAGTATGGCTCTTCCAGTTAAACATCTTTTCAAGGAAAAATAAACAAATGAACAAGCAGGACCTTTGGTGGCCTGACTCTGCCTTTGATCTGAAGTGTAGTACTTGGCTAATTACCATGTTGCCTTGTCCTGCTAGAAGGTAGTGACAAAAGAGAATTTCTGTTCTAAAGGATTCCTCTTTCCACTCGTCAACCGTCGAGGCAGATAGAATAATACCTTTCTAAACTGGATGAACATCTGGTGCCAGAGTCCAGCGTCTCCTGTTCAGGAGGAACAGATAGGTGATGACTCCACTGTGCCGAGTGCTCGTTGATATGAAGTGTTGTTAGTTCTGTTTTCAAATGAATGTTGGAATGACTGTATTAGAGTCCACGATCAGAGCAAAGGCATGGCAGCAGGAACAGCTGAGGGCTATCATCCTGCTCTGTAATTAGGACACTGGAAATGGCAGGAGGCCTTGAAACTTCAAAGCTCCCCCTCCCCCGATATCTCTTTTAAGGTTACACCTCTTAATCCTTCCCAAATAGTCCCACTAATTGGGGACCAAGCATTTAAATATCAGCCTATGGGGGCTGTTCTCATTCAAATCACTACAGTGACCAAGGAGCTACCTAAACCAGCATAAGGGAGTGGGTTAAGCTTTCTGTTTTACACTTGAACAGTTACACCTCTGTGAAATATTTGTTCTTTTGCGTCTCTGTCCATAGGAAGACGAAGTGCACCACCTTTGAACCTTACCGGCCTCCCTGGTACAGAAAAACTCAATGAAAAAGAAAAGGAGGTAATAAAAGGGAGGGGAACTGGAGGAAAAGAAAACGGGCTGATTGATTCATTGAGTTGTTAAAATCCATTACAGTGTCAAACCTATTTCACTGCACTTGTCTAAAGAGCACAGCTCTTGTCTGAGAAGTCTAGGAGCTGCTAACTTTGGCAAGCACCAGAAAACTACTTTCATCTTGCAGCTACCTTTCCCCTTTCAGGGAGAAGTTCATGCAACAGTATCAATTAAATAATAGCAGTAGCTGTCATTTATTGAACATTTCATGTGGCAGACACTCCACTAGACGCTTTTTGTAATCCTAAAGTAGCTTTTACATGAAAATAGGACTTTCCTATTAGAATGGTTGCTTTGAGAAGTTTTGCATTCATTCCAGCAATATAACCATCACTTAAAATGTTTTTGCAATTGTCTCCATAGCATGTTTATAAGCATAAGGTAAATAATGCGGTGTCATATGTAGTTGCACATCAGTTTTATGTTGAGACAGGGTTTCACTCTGTAGCACTGACTGGCCTGGAACTAAATCCCTGTGTAGTGCTGCTGCCTTAGACTCAACAGAGATCCGCCTGCCTCTGCCTCAGTGCATGCAGTGCACGAACACACCTAAGTACTGTGACTTTCTTTACCATTGTAAACACTGAATCCTCCCTGTATTGCTTTTGTCTATTTCTAGCATTTAAATCTACACGGCATATATCTGTAATTTTAGCACTTGAGAGCCTAAGACAGGAGAAGACTTTATGGTCGACCTAGGCCACACAGCAAAGAGGCTCTCAACAAAAATCTACTTGGGTGGTACTCACCTGTAATCTCAGCACTTGGGAGGGAGAGGCAGGAAGACCGGGGGCTCAGGTGCTTCATAGCTGTCTGCTATCTAGTGAGTTCAAAGGCAGCCTGGGCTACCAGAGACCCTGTCTCAAAAAAGCCAAACCAACCAACCAACAAAATAACAAAAGAGCTGCTCATCTCTCGCTCCTTTCTTGTTCCTAGTGTCTGTCTCCCCATCTGTTGGTCCCTAGCATCTGTTCGTGTAAGAAGTCACGATGTAGGGACCCATAATACTCTTATTTTAGCCTTCAGAAATAATAAACACTTCTTTTGAGGGTAGAAAGAAGTATGTGTTGAAGAAAGTCACAGACCATTTTCTCAGTGTTTGTGTGTAATGGTCTGGAATTCTAAGCATCTTATTACTGTTTACCCATAGGACGGTGACTTAGACTGTGCCTTACTGGGTAATGAATGGCAGGTGAACTGAACTTAATGTACTTTCTGCATTCACAGGAAAGGTGGCCTCCTCCCCATGGTAGGCAATGACAAAAGCAGAGGCTACCCTGTCTTGCCAATACCAACAATATGTTTTACTTAGGAGTCCAGATACCTGCAATGCCACCACCCTCAATGCCCTGCTGGGCTCTGTGTCATTTCCCTGACTAATGTCAGAATGGCTCTGGCATCCACCCTGGGCATTTAGCACTCAACTCCTGGGCAAGCCTGGTAGCTCCTCGGGGAGGTATGCTTGTTCCCTAACTGAACTAGACCCTTGAGCCAACCTTCACTTGCTGAAGGCGCTCTTGGCGTCACATCTTCCTTTTTCCTTCCTGAATATCTGTCTCTAGAGAAGAGAGGAAGTGCAGTGTGGTCCAGCCACTCACCTGCTCTCATAAATAGTTGGAGGTTGATGTCACTTTTTTTTAAATACACTTTATTTTGGGTGTGTGGGGGGAAGGGAGAGGCATGTGTGTGCCATGGTATGATGTGGAGGTCAGGGATACTTTGAAGAAGTTGGTTTTCTTTTTTTACCATGTGGGTCCCAGGGATCGAACTTGGGTTGTCAGTGTTGGTAGCAAATGCCTTTACCTGCTAAACCATCTCTATGCCCTCCTCCCTTTTATTTTGGGGTTGCTATACCTGCTGGATTAAATCTGAGAATGACAGGTGTTAATGTTGATTAAATTTGTCATGTCTTCCAGCTCTGTCAGGTGGTGAGGTTAGTACCTGGAGCCTATTTAGAATATAAGTCTGCTCTGTTGAATGAGTGCAACAAGCAAGGCGGCTTGAGACTGGCACAAGCAAGAGCACTCATCAAGATAGATGTAAACAAAACCCGGAAAATCTACGACTTCCTCATCCGAGAGGGGTACATTACCAAAGCCTGAGTCTGGTTGGCAACGCAAGCCAGAGCTACAGAACGCAGCGAGTCAGAAGACAGTGTGTGCATTCTGGAGACTTGTATTTGAGTGGACTCTTACTGTGAAAAGAAGTAAAGACACTGAGAGGCTAAGTGTGCAGACCTTTTTCTTCTCTGCCCTGCTGTAAAGCGCTCCTTTTGGGGTCATAGTGCTACGGAGAGTGCTCACCAAGTTATTAGACAGCAGTGGGCCTTCGCCACTGTAACTCAATCAAGAATGGCGGTACCTCACCTCCTGGCTCTGGTAGAAATAGAACAAAACCAAGCCGCAGCATTTCATCCCAGGAGTCCAACTCAAATCCTTGTACTTGAGAGTGAAGTTCGTTGACCTTCCCATCTTGCAGGCAGATTTCAAATGAAGAGAAGGCTGTTAGAGCACAGGAAAGCCTTTTCTTGCAAGGATTTTTTTTTTTAAATGCTGACATCTTAGTTTATGAAATGAAGAGGGTGGGACTCCCTTCCGTGATGGTCTGTCTGAAATTTCATTTTAACTGTAATGTCTGGCTTTGTACTTTGCAGTCTGGCTGTCTGATGTGCAGTCGACTCTTGAGGAGGTGGCACCGGATATAAAATGTCTCTGTTATTTTTAGAATTAATGGATTAAAATGTTTTGCTATTTAATTTGTGGGTGTGTCAGATATTCTGGTAACTAAAGCACACTTGGGTTGTTAGATGCCCGCCTCACCAAGCTGTACTGTCTTTGCTTACACGTGTGTCCTGGGATCACCTTCTTACCCCGATTTTCCCAGGGTGCCAGGCCCATAAGGATGAAGATGATGCAACTAGCCCAGCTTTGCTTCTGTTGAGACCTGAACCCTAATTTCTCAGTGGTGAAAGGCTAGCCTGCAATAAAAGCTGCTTTTCAAACACAAGTAAAGCTGCTTCATATGAGACTCACTGGCTGTGAGGATGAGTAGTTCTGCCACATCTGAAACGTGGTCCTCAGCCACTCAGTCATAGCTGTCTCATACCTGCTATAAGCAAAGTTGCAGGTAGGTGTCACTTAGAATCTGCACCAATCGATCCCAGTAGCTAATTCTTTCACTCAATTTAACATTCAAACATCCATTTGGGATATGCTTTGTTGGGAGTACATATTCAGATTTGTAGCTATTAGAAGTGTGTATGCAACTTGCTAATAGTTATCCAGAGAATAAGAAATTACTACTTTAAAATTTGTGGGTGTAGAGGGCCAAGGCCACTGTCACATGTGTGCAAGTGGAAGTCAGGACAGCTCTGTGGTGTCAGCTCTCTTCTCCCACCATGGATTCTGAGAATTAAACTCAAGGCTGTCAGGCTTATGCAGCAAGCACCTTCCTTGCCCGTAGAAGATCCAGCTGGCCTAAAAAGAACTTGGGTCGAAGAGTAAGTAGCCCAACAGCTTCCTTTCTTTAAGAAGGACAATGTTTGATCTTATTGGGCTGTTTGTTTGTTTTTGTTTTGAAAGAAAATATGAAGATGGGTGAGCAGATCTCAGGAGAGTTGGAGGAGGAGAAATAATGATCAAAATATACGAAAAAAAATTAAAAAATAAGACAACTTGTGGAAATGGTTTCCTTTCTTTAGTAGTCATTCTTAGAAAATCAACCCTGGTTGATTTTAAACAGGTTGGTTATAACCTGTTTAAAGATTCCATTCCACTGTGAAAAGGTATTTGCTGTTCTGAGGCATGGGATACAGTAGATCCAAGTGTCTGGTAATACTTGTGGTGTGAAGAGTTCATCTTGGTTAAGGAAAGCTTCCTGGGAGAAGAGGGCTTTTGAGGCAGAGATGAAAATCAAAAGGAGGGGGAAATGGCAGATGGGAGTGGGGAACTGTTCTAGACAGAGAGAGGAGGATGGTGTGTAGGCAGGAGTGGGAGTAAGGAAAACAGCCAAGAGATCTGGCTGGGACACAAGGGGCAGCTGTGGCCATTTTGAATGGGAGGATGGGAGACTGAAACCTGAGAGGGAATTGCACGCTGGAGAGCACTTAGGGATTAGTATACATCGCGGGAAGTAATGATGGGAAGACAAAGCTGTCATTGCTGATCACTAGACATTAGAAAGTAGGGTCACTGTTGCTTTGCCGAGCCCAACTTTGCAAAATTTCAAGCCTTGTTCTCAAATTTCTCAAAGGTCCAGCCTTATTTTGAGTAAGGAGTTGCATGTTTGGGGGCGTGGAATTTGTTTTTGTTTTTCCTTTTGAGACATGATCGTACTGTGTAGCCCAAGCTGGTCTCACACTTGTGACCCTTTTGCCTCAGTCTGTCAGGCCCTGGGATTATAGGTGTGCACCTCCATGCCCATGCCTAGTGACTATTTTTCCCTTGAGGAACTAGAAGTTGAACAGGCAGTGCTCTTGCATTTCCAGCCTCGAGAGGAGCTGCTTCATATTCCCATTTGCAGTTATTTTTAAGAAGCACTTAGTGAATTTGATAGGACTGTCCTAATTTCCATCTATGTTCTTAACACTTAGAGGCTACCTGGTACCAGCAGGCCTTTCATTAACATTGCACGCTTCTCTACATCCACATAGATTTGGCTGAAAGCTCGCTACACTGATAGAGGTTGCTCCTGTCCCTGATCAGTGCAGAAAAGGGTTTACTCTCTCAAACTCCAGTCCCCCTGTTTCTGCCTACCAAGTACTGGAATCACAGCTGTGATCCACTGCACCTGCTCTTCCATCTGTTTTTAATGGGTGCCTTTGGGAATACTTTCAAGACACACACACACACACACACACACAAAAAAAAAACAGTCCTACAACTTGTGATGTGCATGGCTTTTTGTGTTTGAATTGCTTGCTAATCTTTACCTGTTTTCCTTCCTATTGTACTTAGCCACAGGTAGACAGACTACCAGATCACCCCAAAAGAACCATTCCAGGTACAATAATATACTGTCATGTCTGTGGCCTACCTAAGATGAAAGGTTTCTTTTCAGTGGGACACCAGCCCTTTGAAATGTTTAGGAAATTGAACAGGATCTTACCTGAAGTAGAGTCAGAGCCGCCTGAAGCGTCAATGCAAACATAGACCTGAGCTGGGGAATGCGATACAAGAGTGAAGAACAGGCTGGGTGCAGGGATACCTGTAGCCTAGCACTCAGGAGGCAGGGGCAGGAGGATTGCTGCCTTTGAGGCCAGCTTGGTTTTCATAGCCAGGTTCTCTGTCTAATGGCAGGGAGGCTCTCCTTGTCTTTCTGTTGTCCTGCCTTCCAGGGTTTGAGATGTCCAGCAGTGGACGTGTACTAACTGCCCACTGAGCTCATGGACCAGGCATTCCAGTCAGTGACAGGTATTTGCAGGAAAGAGGAATGTTTTCATCTGACATTAAAACTCCTTCCTCACGGTGAGTTGGTTGGTTGGTTGGTTGGTTGGTTGGTTGGTTGGTTGGTTGGTTTTGTGTTTTGTTTTATTTTCAAGACTGGGTTTCTCTGTAGCCCTCTGTGGAACTCACTCTGTAGATCAGGCTGTCCTCTGTTTGGATTAAAGGCGAGCACCACCACCACCCAGCTACAATGAGTGGATACACAGCATGTTACTAGGCCCCTTTTCCTGTTGAGAACAGAAATGGAATAGAGCTAAGAATACAGTGATTCCTAAAAGTTTTAAAAACCAATTAAAAAAAAAAATTCCTACAGATGTAGCCTTGACGGTCTCCTGTACTGGTCTTGTATTTGAAAACCCTGTGGTTAATCTTTGCCAGCCCACACTTGTCCTGTGACCTTTAGGGACAGATGATTGGGTCTGGTGCACTTGATTTTCTACTTCAGAGTCCAGGTAGTAGATTTCTTTGGCACCCAACTCAGTTGTTAGATTGAATTAATCTTGCATTCTTTACCAGACAACCTTTTCAGTTTGCATTAGTCAGGATCTTCGAGGTCTGGGATCTTGACAAAATTGTACTGACTTACTACTGTGGCTCTGTCCATAGTTAACAGAGCAAATCAGCTTCTTGGAAAGTGTGGGAAGATGTCATGGGGCTGGAGATGTAGCCCAGTTGGTGGAATGTTTGCCCATTGTGCCTGATTCCCCTGGGCTCAGTTTCCAGCACAGCGTTACTGGAGTGGTGGTGCTTACCTGCAATTTCCAGATTTAGGAAGTGGAGGTTGGATCAGAAGTTCAAGGTCAATCATGAGCTACATAGGGAGTTAAAGGCCAGCCTTTGTAATAATCTTGGAAAGTTGTCAAGAGTGCAAATTGTCTGTTTCCAGGTAAATGTTTGCCCCAACCCTCCCCCCCAATACTATCAAAAAGAATTGAAACATTTAGAAAGACTTTGATAAGCCCAGCTTCACAGTACGAAGGACCTTGGAGATGGGTGGGCTGACAGCTTCCACAGCAAGATGGAGCAGACAGCAACACTATCCTAAGGAACTGCTGTTTGTGCTGGAGAGACAGGCACTAACTTCTCCATCAGCTTCCACCTTTGTCCCTGTCACAAAGCAACCTGCAGCAAACAGCCTATCTGCCAGACCCGGTGGTCTCTGATCTACCATCCCCGCCACGGATGGCTGAGCAAGGTCAGCCTCACCTGGCTTCCCACCCCAACATCTTTGCCTGGTTCTGGTCAGGCAGAGCTGCGGATTCAGGGTATCTGCCAGCTCTTAGTCAAGGTATGGGTTTTAACTTCATGAACCAAAGCAAAAAACAGCTTTTCAAAGTCTCCCAGGAGCACCTCCGCCCCCAACAACTGCAGAAAAGAAGGCGTTTGTGGGAGAGAAGGGTAACTATAGACGTCATTGTATCATCCAGATCCCAGCTGTGACCTGGCTCAGAGTTTTCCAGTTAAAAATAACCATGGCTTAGACTTGGGAAGAAAAAAGTAAACTGTTGCATCTCCATGGAAACCGGTGGGGGTGAAGCATTGAATTTCTAACACGTGTAACAAGATGGGGTGGATAAAGAGGCCGGAAACCTAGAGGCCCCATGATGAAAGGTGATACCCCTAATTAGCATCCAGGATGTAGTCAGACACCGCCTTAGGGCTTTGCACAGAGGATCTGTTTATGAGGAAGTATGCATCTTGGGCCTATTGAAGTCCACTGGAGTCTCTCAGCCTTCCTGTGACAGATTGTTTAGCAACGCAAAGAGCAGCTGAGCTGTAGGTTCATGGAACATCTGCTGCCCTGCCATTCACGGTCCTTCATTTACACATTCAGCAGCTTGAGATGACACAGTTGGAATTTCATAACCAAAGGGGAGTCTCCAGACTTCGGAGCTGACGTGTACATTTGTAGCAGGACCAGGTTTTTCTTCTTCTGGTGTTTTAGGAAATTGTGTAAAGCACCATTAATTAACCTTAGCTGTCTTTAAAAGGGTGTCTCACGTGGGGTGTGGCGGTGCACACCTTAACTACCCAACACTTGGGATGCAGAGGCAGGCAGAAGGCCAGCCTGATCTACACAGCAAGTTCCAGGACAGCCAGGGGTGCCTAGTGAGACCTACCACCCGAAACAGAACTCTCTTAACATTTCTTGTATTGTTACCAGCTGTAGAAACTGTTCTCTGGGCAATTATCTTAGTTTTTCATTTCCATTTTTAAAAATAATTTATAATTTTAAATTTTTTATTATTTTGTATGCATAAATGTTTTGCCTGCGTGTATGTATGTGCACTGTGTGCCAGGTGCCAACAGA